ACTTCCCTCCCCGAGTAAAACCCTAGCCGCGCGCGGGTGCTAGCACATCTGCGCGTGGCGTTCCGTCCCTGTACGTGTGGATACCGGTAGAGGCGCCGCTGGTTTGCGGTGCTGATCGGCGTGGGAGTACGGCGAGGAGAACGCACGAGGAGGAGAAGGTCGAGCCGGTGCGATCGACTACTTCCTCTACATCGACGCGCACTGCTTCGCGAGAGTTTCTTCGACTTCTCAGCGTCTTCTTCCGCTGCGCAGCGCGTCGAGTGGTAACGATCTATGATCTAATATTTGCATGGTTCCTGGTTTACGTGATAGAAAATTTTGATTTATGCTATCGTAGCCTACGCGTATCCCAACAGACAGCATAATGTAGCTTGGTGCTCTGGCGGCTTGGCTGATGTTCAAAGTGGATAGTCGGTGTCTTGCTCGTTTTTGCGATGCCTTTGGCAACGATGATGTGATAATTGTGGAGTTGGAGCTGCTGTGTCGCTAAGCGACAAGGTCGGCAACAACACTTGCCTCACGAAGTCAAAGCCTTTGAATTACTTGCAACAAGCTCTTTATCAATGGCTGTTTTTTTGGGCTCCGCTATTGTCCTTTTTTCACGGTCTTAGTTAGAATGTTGTGGTTGTGGTTTTTGCCAGTTTCTCCTAATTAACTGTGCATTGTAAGGTTTGGTCATGTTTTCTTCTTAAAATATGACACATTCTTCTCTATATAAAACGCCGCAACGGCATGACCGTTCGAAAAAAGACAACATAATGTAGGGGCCTAATGTGCAGCAAACATATATTTTTGCATACAACTATTGGCCAAGTTTTAGTTAACTCCATTAACTATCCAAGCTGTGTTATTTTATTGGCTCCTTTTTGTGATTTGCATACTGGTTTACGCTGATGTGCTAATGACATGGGACTAAATGAGCGGGTATGTTGGATGTTTAGATGCCATATGGCATTTAAACTCTCTTGGTGCGCACGAGTAGCGGCAAAAGGAGAGGAGGAGGATGAGCGCCATTTTATAGGCCGGGGGAGGAGGGGAATGGCTGGCAAGCAAGGTGGCCGGCCATCAATGGCGACAGTTTGTCGGAGATTAAATTTAGCGAATTAAATCCAAATTGAAAGGGGCAAACATGGGAAAATAAAGAGGAGGAAGAGAGGAACCGATTTTTACAATCAACTAGTAAGGTAGCCCGCGCATTCGCATAGGCATGTATCGTAGACTGTGTTTGAGAACTTATAATGATGAAATGTTAATCGGAACTTATAAAAGATCATTTTATTTATTTATATTATTTGAGCACATTTAAAAAAACATTAAGTAATTGGACTATTTTCTCTAATTAAAGGAACTCGATGTTTTATGCAGTGGCTCAAACTATTCATATTTCAGTTAGTTATTTTTGTTTACGAAGTGTATGTTTAATTTAGCTATACATGTTTCAAAACATAGCATGGTGCGACTCTATGTTGTTGAGTTATTTCTTTTTCTTTTGGCAAATTAAATATAAAAATTTTGTTCTGGTACTATTGATTTAATTTAGCTATGCATGTTTGTAGAATTTTTCATAATGACATAATATTTATTGTCAAAATTTTAAGGTATTTAGATGTGGTGCAAAGTGCATGGGTGGACTGTGCCCAAATGCTATAATTCTTATGCAGCAAAATATATGCATATATAAATATTACATTGTTAGTTTAATTATAAATAGAGAATAATTAGATAGAAATCAGAAATGTATAGCTTATAAAAAAATTGTAGTTGTTTCAACATTGATTGTTTCTCTTCTAGTTTAGTAGCTACAAAAATAAGGAATGGGAGGGCAGTGTTTTCTACATGTGAGATAGAGGAGGTGGAGGGATTTTAGTGAAAACTGTTGATGCAAAAACACGAGGCCTGGAAAATCTGCTTAACTTCAGTGCAGGTCCAAAAATCTTGCTTTTAGGTTCGTGAGTGTGCCAGTTGATTTGATCCTGCAATCAACAAGAAATAAAGACAGAAACCGCGGTTAAATCCATAAACGATAGCCGATCGGCTAGTTACCGATGACATATCAATTATCTCTGAGCCGATGTCATATGTTAATTGATCGGCAATCATGAATAAATAAGAAAGAACTAAATCTACTCGATCGGCTGTAGATATTAACAATATGTAATTCTTATGTCGATATATACTTAAATCAAGTGATTGGGATAGATCGGTCGCGATGCCGAGACAGTATAATTCACTTAGATCGAAATATATACTAACAATGAGATTATAGATGTTTATAGCATAGCCGATCAGATAGATCTAGCATGTATCGGTTAATACTCCGATACTACTCTATGTTAAGATATTAAAGCAAGCAAAATATATCAAACAGAAGCCTAACATACTTTGTTGTACTAAAATCATAACATAAAGGGCTGATTTAGCATGTCAATTATGTCAATTATCAATTATCATTCATAAGATATAAAGCTAAACCAGGTAAGATCGGCTAAAACTGCTACCCTAATTGGCAATCAAAAGCAGGCTAGAGATTGAGATTCTAATCACGACTTATAAGGTCAAACTCAACTGATGCAGCTATAATTATGAAAAAAAGGACAATATCTAGACAATCAAGCCGTTGGATGTTTCATAGAGTGGTGGATATCCTATATAATCTAAGTCAACGTTGGTATTTAACCTAATCGGCTGCCTTCTAGCAACAGATGTTAGCCGATTGAAGGTTAGATAACAATATTGCCTAAGATTATATAGAATATATGATAACTCGACGAATTACATAAACAAGATTAGAGTATCATAAAGATGGAGGCACTAATCCCGAGAACGCAAGCCGCCATAACAAGTTTTACCTCTAGTTGAAGATCGAAACCGATGCAGCTCAACTCGAGAGCAAGAACTCGTCGAAACAAAACGAAAGTAAAGGGTGGCGATGCGCCGAGATTGTATTGAACTTGTGTTGTTGTATTACATGGGGCTCGGGGTCTATTTATACCCGAGATTACAAAATATGTCCGTGTCGGACACGACTCTTATCTCTAACAAACTCTAATATACCATAAGTCTTTGCGGCAGACTTTTGCCCAAACATATCTATAAGGAAATTACATGAAATATCCTAATTAATAGATACAATTGCCTTCTCAGGACTCAATCCGTGCATGGCAATCCTCATGAAGCACATTAACTCAACCCGACAACGTGCATTACATCATATTGTCGGTATTGGCTCAATCGGCCAACCTAGTCCGACTTGAACTCTGTCTATCCTGATCATAGCCGATTCGGACTTTAGTCGATTCTCGCTCTATTTCCGTAACGATCTCCATCTCGAATTCCGCTTTGATTCTATCCTCATCTCCGATACTTGGATTTCCAAATTTGGTTGTTAACACATGCCCCTCAAGTCCGGAATATTTGGTAATGTTTCGGATTTGCCATATCCGTGTCTCCGAGAGTATCGCTCATTGCCATTTTTCCGACCGTTACCGCCTCGCTTTAAATACTAACCGTCGTCCCCGAGAAATTTCACACCATTAGCTCCGTTTTCACCGCTTAAGCCAACCTTGTTTCTTTCTCTCCGGCGATCCCCTCGGAGCACCATACGTCCCCAAGGCGATTTCCCCTCCGGCCAAATATTCTGCCCGCGGAGATGTCGTCCTCCGCTAGTCCGTTCGTCGCGCCATCGGCCGAATACGCAGAGGTAAGTATCCATCGGCTAGATCCTCTCTTTTCGCAATAGATTGGTTCTTCCTTGCCTCATCTTGTTTTCATCTTCTCTGTTCTTGTTTACATCTGTAGCACTTGTCCAATCTGGTCGCGATCCCAAGTTTGTCACATGAGCATCACTATTTTCTTGGTCCGATCGGCAATCTTGATCCCACTGAGTTCATCATCGCCGAAACCAATAGGATCCCTTTTAGATTGGCCAACCCGAATCTAGGTCACTAGAAGAATACCTTCAAATCTTGGCCTTCTCTTGAGAAAACTTTCCCTGAGAAAAGTTGGGCTGTGTGGTATAAGTGTGTATCGGCTAGCAAGCAAGTTCGCTGGGACGAATTAGGAATCGGCCAAGCGCTTGCTCTTACTCTAGCAAATTCGGCCAAGGATGAACCCCTGATGGCCTCCGCAGCATACTTTTGGTCCAACACCCTCAACGCTTTCTTGTTCAACCAAGGGCCGATGATTCCCACTCTGCTCGATATCACCATGCTTACTGGATTGGATGTAACTGCATCGGCTAACCCCATGAGCTTGAACACCAAAAACCAGTTTGATTTTAGGACCAAGAGCATAGGTGGCTGGTCTGGCTATGTTGCTGCATACACGGGCAAAGGATCTGTCACCCCCGGGAGCACACGGCTTTTCTTCTGATGTGGCTTGAGAAATTCCTCTTCCGCGGATCAAGCTGTGGCCCTACCACCAATTGGCAATTCTTAGCCGAAGCCCTTGAGACCAAGAGGCAGTTCCCTCTGGGTAAAATTCTTCTCAGCTATCTGTACCAAATGTTGAGCAATGCATCGGCCAAGATAGCCACAGGCTCAGTAGTGGGTGCAGGTGGACCATGGTGGCAATTGCAAACATGGCTTAACCTTGTTGTCATGATGGTTATGAATCGACCACCTTTAACATAGTCTGAATTTCCAAGGTTGGAGCCCACTACTAATGATGATGGGGCGCCGATGCCTATCATATGGTGAAGCTGCATCAACACCAGCCAATTCTGGAGCAAAGCTATCGGCTAAACTGCTCAAAGACTGGTTCTGCAGTTTCTATGAGGGCTTCCAGAGAGATGTAGGGTTTGGTTCCCATATGAGGATTCAGTGAATTTTGATCTCCCGGTAGACTTCACATTTGAGGATATCAATTCTGAAAAATTTGACAAATCTAGAGAAGTCTTCTCGACTGCTATTAGTCCATGCATCCTTCCTGTCGGCATCCATCAAGGAAGAAACATACAAGCTTCTTATGAGTTTTACCATCCAATGAGCTCAGCTAGATAGTTTGGAATGGGACAGCTATCAATCGACTTGTTCTTTGCCGATAAGATCCAGTACAGAGGAGAAATCTCATCAACATTGATGATGGATCGGCTGCTCAACATCCCAGGACCTCCTTTAGGCAGTATCGAGAACATAGAGCTGGCAAGGTTCAGGAGTAGGAATTTTGACAGATGGTGGGGGTGAATGGAAGCAGCATATATTCCATCAGCCGGCCTCTATGTACATGATAGATTTATTTCCAGATGTTGTCCCTCAGGTATATTTTTACTTTGTCAATTCTGTTGGAATAATTGTTAGCCGACTTGAATCTTGACTAACTTCTTTCTTTGCCTTGCAGACAACAGAATCTTCTCCTCCTCGCAAGAGCAACAGTGGCAGGGACATAGAATATGCTCCAGGCCTTCTACCAAATGGAGGTGGATTAGCTCCCCCAGTCATCGGCTATCATGCCCCCAAGACCTCAAGTCTGCTTCAAGGGCAAATGAGAGAACCAGCCGATGTTGGCAGGTTATGCATTCGAAATCATGAATGACTAATGCATAAAATAAAGATATAGAATATAGGGCATTTATGCTCAAAGGAGAGGAATAATAACTTGCCTTGCTCCAACGCAATAAATCCGAGATAGCCAACCTGATTATCCAATGCTTGAAATACCAAAGGTTGCCATCCAATTATAATAGACTCTACTGAAGAAGAGGAAGAACTAAATTCAATAAAAGATCGATAAGCGGCTAGGAGAGCTAGGGTTCAGGGTATAGTATCTCCTTTATAGGGTATAGGGATTATTGGGCTATCATTTGTTGGCGGTAGGTTTAGGTAGTATAATAGCTAGGGTTTAGTTATATGAGAGTCGATTGTGGAATAGGATAGCATATCGGCTAGGCTCTATATTTTATATGGAGGTTCCAGAGGGTTGGAGGCTAGAGGGGATTAAGCAACTACTGTCACTTATATTTTATGTGAAGGCTCTCGTGGTTTGGATGATAGGGAATATACTAGATATTTGATATGGTTAAATAGGTATGTGGCTAATATGGGTCAAGGTTGGGCTTTGGTAGAATAGTGGTTAGGGTTTAGTTGTTTAGGCCGGTATCGAGATAGGATAAATATCGGCTAGGGTTTTGGGTGTTTGCTAGTCGTCATTAGAGTTGGGCAACATGACGACTAGATTTGGTATCTTCTCTAGCCGGTGTCGGTGGATAATATATCAGCTAGAGAAATAGGAGGTGGGTGCAGGTTTAGTGGGGCGGAAGTGTTACTCCGACAACCGTGAGTTGTGACGGAGTGGCTAAGATTACACAGAGCTTGAGAGCAAACTGTGTGGCCTGCTGTGGAGGTCGAGGAAATAGTGAAGCTCCAACCGTTGTACGCGTCGAGGCGTGGGGTGCTAGAGTATCAATTCAACCTTGGGTTTGGGTTTTGCTAGGTTTTACAACCAACAGTTTGACGTCATGGCCAGTAGACCGTACGGACGTCCACATAGAAGGTGTAAAGTTTTAACCGGCGGCTTTTAGTGGCTAAAGGGTATTTTAAAAATAACAGGAAATATTTGAAAGGTAAATATAAGTTTCAATTATAAGTTTAAATCAAATATTTATTCAAATGGTATTTGAATAAATTAAGGAAATTCAAATAAAATCTTAAAATAGCAAATTTGATATCAAAATGAAGGATTTGAATTTAGGTCCAAGTTTTACTGGAATCGGATTACGGTTTAGGAGATATGGGCTTCTAAAGATTGGATTTTGAATTAAATCTAGAAATTGCGAAATAGTACTGTAGGGGGCCCACCTGTCATTAGCTGTCCTTTTTCTTTTTCTTTTTTTTTTCTCTTCTTCTTCCTCCCGATTCCTCTTCTCTTTTTCTGTTGGCAACCGAGAGGGAGAGAGAGGAGAGGGCGAGCGGGGCGCCGGCCCTCCGGTGGCCGGAATGCGGCGACGCCGGTGGCATATCGTGTTCCCGCTCGATGCGTACTCGAGGAGGTCGGTGGCTGGTAGAGAGGAAGAGGAAGGAAACCAGAACGGAGGCGGCAAGAACTTGCTCTGACCGCTTAAAGAAGTGATGATGGTGGCTGCTATGGAGTGGGAGAGAAGGGGGAAACGGGAAAAATGGGCTCGTCGGAGGGAGGCGAAGCCGGTGGTGCGAGGAGAGGGGAAGAGGAGCTACGGATGGGGAGATCGACCGACGACGTCGACGATCGGCCATGGGAAGAGAGAGACGGAGCTCGAAGAGATCGGTCGATGTGGGAAAAACAGAGGGGGTTCGTTCACTTATATAGGCCATGAGAGGCGGTGGCGGATGACGGTTGTAGAGGAGAAACACAAGGACGATTTTGCGACGGCGGCGTGGAAAAGAAGGAGGCGGCGCCGGCTTCTTCCTGCGATTGGTTGGGCAGTGATGGCGTGAGGACGTGGCGGCCGTGGAAGAGTTGGGCGGCGGAGTAGGGCGCACGGTACGGCATCGACGTCGGCGTATGAGGTCAGCAGGTGACGGTGGCACAAACCACGGCGACGGCGACGCTGTGGGCGGCGGCGCACTAATGGCGCACGGCAGCGGCGGCTGTGGCGCTACATGCGCCCACAGGAAGAGGAGGGAGGTGGGAGGATGCGGCTCAGCAGTCTGGGCCGGCTTGGGCCGCGTGAGTGAGAGAAATTCGGTCCAAAGTTAAAAAGGAGGAAGTCTAATTTTCCTAGAGATTCAAATAATTGATTTAGAGGAATTTGGACGGCTAGATTTTGAAAAGGATTTGAATTCGGAGATATTGATACATGGAGAAGGATTTTAAAATAAGGATGCTCTAATTTATTTGAGTGCAATATTTTGAGAGATAGAATATAACGGGATTTATTTAATGCACTCAAATGAGAGGGAGGGGAAATAAATAGGATGTTAGCCGCAAATTATTTGGCAAGGATTTTGGGGAAGTATTTGAGGCTAATAGGGGACTTGGATTTTGGATGAAAAGATAAAACCTATTTTCTTGGCACAAGAGTAATTATTCACAATATTTGTAATAATATTATTCTTGCACCGAGAAGGGTATTCTAGCCACACGATTCAAATCGGTGGCTAGGTCAAAAGGAAGGATTTGGATATTTGAATTGAGGTTTAAGGATAGGTTTAAGATCAAAGGATTGGTTAACAATTAATTCCAATAAGATTGGAATTGCTTTGGTTTAGGTTCTAGCACAATATGGGAAGGTTTCTTGGACCATAATTCATAATAGTAAAAAGGTTTTCAAACTAAATTTAAATAAAAGAAATTTTAGGAAAAAGAAGGTTTTAGATTGAAACCAAATCAAGAAATACCTCAAGATAAATTTAAAATAAAAATCACAAAAGATTTTGAACATCAAAGAGAGATTTTATGCAAGTTAATTTTAGGAGGGCCCTCTAATTATATTGTCCTAGGTTTAGGAGGTTATTGAGAACATAAGAATCATCATGATGCAAGATTAGAAAATAGTTAATTTTCAGGATGTTACATGTCACTTGAACACATACATGACGTGTGAAGGGGTGGGAAGTGGGTCTTTTCCGTTTTTATATTGTTAAGATAGCAGTAGAAAATAATAAGTATACCATGTTTAAGTTAAAATAATCGATGGTTAGGTGTATTATGTAATTTCTTTAGAATTTCTAAGATTTATTGTAAACTACTGGAAAAACCATCTTTGGTCGGTCGCCCAAAAACCACAATAGTCCCAGTTCGAATAGGAACCGGGACTAAAGATTATTTTTAGTCCCGGTTAAAAACTTTTTGATCTTTAGTCCCAGTTGATGTTACCAATCGAGATTAAAGATCATTTTTACTCCCGGTTCAAAGAAGTTATTGGGTCAAGTTAGGCCCCAATCATCTTAGATCTTTAGTTCCGGTTCTTTATACTACCCGGGACCAAAAATCCTCCCGAGCGCACGTCGAGTCCTCTCTCTCAGTTTTATAGATAAGACCGATAAAAACCATATCCACTTCCTCTCTCATTAAAAACCATCTCCACTCTCCAGCCTCCTCGATCCCATCTCAATCTCAGGTGTTCTCCTTCTCGATCGGCTCTAGCATTTTTAGTCCCGGTTAGTAACACGAACCGGGACTAAAAGTTGATTTTTTTTTTGTCTCGGTTATTTCACCAGGGACTAAAGATTTATACTCCCGGTTGCAAAACCGGGAGTATAGGGGGTTGTAAACCAGGAGGAAATACCATTTCTCCACCAGTGGTAGTGTCACATGGTGGCTTAGGAGTGTTCATAGGAGTCCCGTGTGGTGGTTTGAGAGTATTTTGTAGGAATTTTAGTTGACTTTTAGCATATAATGGATAGATATGGCATGCTAAGTTGTCGAAATGTGTGCCTAATATATCTCTACATGTTTCTTTAGGGAATATATTTCTACAAGTAAAATTATACTGGTGTAAACTACATTTTTCTGACATTGTAGATCTATTTTATTTACATGCCAGTGAAGTTATTATATAGCATGAAACAATATAATAATGTCACTTTCTTTTCATAATTTTTACAAGCTAAATTATAGTTAAGAGGTGTATTAAATTCTAATTTGTGATTTTAGTTATAATAATGACACAAATAGAACATATAATTTCATCCGATAGCAAAAAAAAAAACTTCCTTTAAAGAGAAACAGAGAGGAGTTATGTACATGCGTATGCACGGGAAGAGGGGACACCTCTTTGTAAGAAATAGAAAAATCAAACTAATCCAAGTATCCAACGGCTTGGAGTGGTGTGCCTATTAATTTTAGTGAAATCAAGGGCTAGGTTTTTTTCTCAGATTTTTTCTAATTTATTGGAGCGTCACGTGGCATTATAGAAGCATTTATATAAGCATCATGTGACAGCTTAGAAGCATTTATAGAAATTTTCACGGACTTTTACTATATAATATAATAGATAGATTGGATATCATCGATATAATTTAGCGAAACATATTTGTAGAATTATTGAAGGTGACATATAATATAATATGCCAACTAGAGATGAGGGGAGAGAGGGAATACGTACGTACAGGAGGCCAGGAGGGGAATGTACAGGTGGTGGGGACCAGTGTGGAGAGAGGAGGATTTTATTTTTTTATTTGATCTAATGGTTAAAAATGTTGGAGCCACCAATTTAAAAGAAAATCAACGGTTATATTTTTAGACTGTCACTTGGCATCTTAGGAGCGTTTGTAGGAGAACACGTGGCGGTTTAGGAGTACAGGTGGTGGGGACCGGTGGGGAGAGAGGAGGATTTTATTTTTTTTATTTGATCTAATGGTTAAAAATGTTGGACTAACCAATTTAAAGGAAAATCAACGGTTAGATTTTTAGACTGCCACTTGGCATCTTAGGAGCGTTTGTGGAGAACACGTGGCGGTTTAGGAGCGTTTGTAGGAAGTTTAATGGACTTAGGAGGATTTTATTTTATTTTATTTGATCTAATGGTTAAAAATGTTGGAGCCACCAATTTAAAGGAAAATCAACGGTTAGATTTTTAGACTGTCACTTGGCATCTTAGGAGCGTTTGTAGGAGAACACGTGGCGGTTTAGGAGTACAGGTGGTGGGGACCGGTGGGGAGAGAGGAGGATTTTATTTTTTTTATTTGATCTAATGGTTAAAAATGTTGGACTAACCAATTTAAAGGAAAATCAACGGTTAGATTTTTAGACTGCCACTTGGCATCTTAGGAGCGTTTGTGGAGAACACGTGGCGGTTTAGGAGCGTTTGTAGGAAGTTTAATGGACTTTTAGTATATAATAGATAAATAATAGATTTGGAGGAGAATCGATCATGAAGCAAGATCAAGGGATTGGAAGCGCTTGAGTTCGTCGGCTGGGAGAAGAACGGGTGGCGGCTGGGGAAGACGACAACTCGTCGCGTCCCTGGGTCGGCTGGGCCGAGCCCGAGCAAGGAGGGAAGGTAACTGGGGTGAGGCGGCTGCAGCCCAAGGGAAGGAGGGGAGAGGGGGATTGTTCAGGAGAGATGGTCCGAGGGAGAGGATGGCCAAGAGGGAGGGAGAGAAGGAACAAATTCACCTTATATCCATAATTTGTCACCGAGTTTAAAATTCATCCACAAACCAAAATACTAGATATAATGGATCTCTCAATTTACAAAACTGGATCACCTGAGGTTCTAGGTAGTATTATGCCCGGTTTTAGCTAACCTGGCAAACTGAGTCAGCGTGAGACCCATGCGGGCTCCACATATCAATGGCCTATCTTCCTCTCTCTCTCTCTCTCTCTCTCCTCTCTTCTCCTCTCTCCGCCCTCTCTTCTACTCTCTTCCCAATCATCCTGGATGCCGATCGGCCGACCGACGCCATGAGGAAGCTGTTGCTGCCGGCCCCACGCCAACATGAGGAAGTTGCTGCTGATGCATGATTGGACACGGCCTGTGTGAACTGGAAGTTGAGGGGCCAAGCGCGGCTTTGGCCGATGGACTCCAACAATGACGACGGTGGCTCCGATGGGGGCACACGACGGTGGTGGCACGGGTCCGCATTCCAGCGGCCACACTCCATAAGCACCCGATATTGGCTCTGTTTAAAAAGGAAAGATTATGAATTTCTGACATCAATGGTCACATGGCTTAAATTACAACTGACTAATTCCTGAGAGGGGCGACAACGACAACTGACAGGTGGGCCCCACACGGCGCGCCCAGAGGTAGCCAGTATGGTGCAATCAGTGGGAGGAGGCGCCTATGCCTGATGATCACTGCCAGCAACCATCGGTGCGGCAAGACAAGGAGAGGGGGCAGGTCAGGAAGAAATGGGTGAGGCCTCGCAACTCACTGAGACGTGGCGGGGGCAGAAACGAGATGAGGCAGGGATGGGCGACAAGGGGGACAGTGGCATTCCATTGATCTCCAGGCTCAACAAAGGGGTGGATGAGGACAGCGAGGATGAAGGTGGTGAAACCGGCGACGACCTGTAAGTGGCTGCGGCGGTGCCGGCCGCACGCACATGCTAGGCCGGCCCAAGGCCAAGCGGCGAGGAAGAGAGGGAGGGAGGTGTGTGGGGTCACCTTGCTGTTGTTGGGGAGGAGGAGGAAGAGGGGCAGAGGCTGTCCCTCGAGATCTGGCACGTGGATGTGGTGGGGCCAGCAGGGACTGACGACTTGTTGACGGTCCATAAGTAAAAAATATATGACCATCAATTATTGCATAAAACCAATTGGAATAAAACATCAAACTTAGTGATAGTGGTCATTACTAATCATTTCCGCACGAGTTGGTGAATATTTGTTTGTA